AACAACTGTGCCAAGTTTGGAAGAAATTGGTGCAGCGGTTACCAAGATATGCACATGTAACCATAAGTGGGCGTGGCCACGCCCATTTTCCAAAAATTTATAATATTCTTATTTTCCGTCTGAAAATTATTGTAAATATTAATCTTCAATAGTTACTAAAATATCGTATTTCTGAAAAGTACCGTTATATGGGCGGTAGGCGTAGCTATTGTCCGATTTTGCCCATTTTCAATACTAACCCTACNTATTTCTGAAAAGTACCGTTATATGGGAGGTAGGCGTAGCTATTGTCCGATTTTGCCCATTTTCAATACTAACCCTACACCCGAAAGAAGTGCACGCACAAAGTTTCGCTAAGATATCTCAATTTTTACTCGAGTTATCGTGTGCACAGACGGACGGACGGACGGACGGACGGACNGATATCTCAATTTTTACTCGAGTTATCGTGTGCACAGACGGACGGACAGACAGTCACCGCTTAATCGATTTCTCTTTTCATTCTGATCATTTATGTTTGCATTTGTCTATATCGACTCGTTTTGCCTGTTACAAACAACCGTTATGTGAACTAAGTTATAATACCCTTGTGCACAAGTACGCTCGGGTATAAAAAGCACAACATGAAATTAAGGGTTGTTTATATTTAAGGACCACCATTTTTTGCATTATACTTGCTTCTCTTCGATTACCCTGTATTATTATCCTTCAAAATGCACTCTCGAATGGTGCTCTGCGATTTTTCCTTCAAGAGTTCAAGAGAATCTAGGATCGCCAATCCAAGCATATGCTCTTTAACTCATTACATAATCTTCCTATGGCCATAGTTTCTGAAAGAAAAATCGTAAAGCACCACTCGAAGGCGCATTTTTAAGGCTAAGAATAGTACTAAATGGCATAGAGCAAACAAAATTGGCCATTCAAGTCGTTTTTCGTGTACTTAACCTCAATATCTTGGCGCAGTTCTAAGATCGATCTCGAGTTCTACTCAGAAAATTACTTCTGAAACGACCTACAGCTGCATAGCGACAGAAACTTTAAAATCTGTATTCATAATTATCATGTTCTTTATTTCTTTGGATTATATGTCCAATCGCAAACCTACTGAATTCATGCTACTTATTGCATAAAACAGACTACAAGTCCATGTAATAGACTTGAATTGATATGAAAAGTAATATATGTATGTATATACATATGTATGTATGTGGTTATATGAATAACGATCGCTTAAAATTTATCTCAAATTTTGTACAACGCTCTTATCAACTTGCAATGTTGTGTGTCCAGACAGCTATAAAAGCTTTGCTTTGCAAAGTTCCTATTAAGTCTAGATATCAACCTCGTTGGTTCGAGAGGTAGATGTCGCTCTATGCACTACGTACGCTACAGCGGAAAGGGACGACACCCCATTTCTTTAAATAAAATTAATTGGTGCTCGTATGTATGTACATACTAGGGATTTTGCGAATGTGGAATTTTAGAAATCCGCGGATGCGAATGCGGATGTTTAAACGCTAACATCCGCGGATGCGGATGCGAATGCGGATGTCAAGTATTTTTAAGAAATGTTTTAGGTGATTAAATTAGATGATTAAGGTAAATAAAAAATGGAAAGGTTAGTAATTTATAATAATTTTTTTAGTACTTGAATTAAAAAATTGGAACATCGTATTTAATAAAAACCTTTTAAAGGGTCGAGACAACAAACTTGAAAAATTCATTCCAATGAAGCTGCATCGGGGCTGGAACTGTCGAATGTATTGTAACGAAGCGTTTTTGTTGTACAATGCTGGGGTATACTCGCCGTGTCCAGGGTTCGTTACAATAAATTTTTAGTTTCGGGCTCTGATGAATCCTACTTTATTAGATTATTCTCTTACTTACTATCAAACATATAACAAAATAACAATTGGAAATATTCGGTAGCGTCACTTGCAGTGGCTGGGTAACGGCTTCTTGTTGTGTCATGAGCCCGTTAGGCTGTAGTGGCATGGCTTTAGTACTGGTGGCCAGCGCCCTGCTGACGCCGCTGAGTGGCGCGCTGCTAACGTCTATAAGTGGTGCTCTGGCCGCGTCGGTATGTAGCGCTCTTGCAATGTGAGTTGCGCTCTGGTCGTGTCGGCGAGTGGCGCTCTAACAACGTCGGTGTGTAGCGCTCTGGTGACGCCGGTATGTGGCGCTCTTGCAATGTCGGAGAGTAGCGCTCTAGTCGCGCCGATGAGTGGCGCTCTGGTGACGCCGGGGACTAGCTGTTGACGGCGGATGGGGAGCGCTCCTTGTTGGCGCAGTTGATGTCGCTCTGCTGACGGCGGGTGTCGCCCGTACGCGGCTTCACGGTATACTGTGGTTGGCGGTGATCAAAGCCGACGCACCAGAAATCCCTCCCCTCAGTCGTAACCCTCATTCCGGTCTATGGCTCTCTACCTCTGACTGGTGATGACTTGTGGTGTCATTTGCCGACGCACCAGCNTTTTAGGTGATTAAATTAGATGATTAAGGTAAATAAAAAATGGAAAGGTTAGTAATTTATAATAATTTTTTTAGTACTTGAATTAAAAAATTGGAACATCGTATTTAATAAAAACCTTTTAAAGGGTCGAGACAACAAACTTGAAAAATTCATTCCAATGAAGCTGCATCGGGGCTGGAACTGTCGAATGTATTGTAACGAAGCGTTTTTGTTGTACAATGCTGGGGTATACTCGCCGTGTCCAGGGTTCGTTACAATAAATTTTTAGTTTCGGGCTCTGATGAATCCTACTTTATAAGATTATTCTCTTACTTACTATCAAACATATAACAAAATAACAATTGGAAATATTCGGTAGCGTCACTTGCAGTGGCTGGGTAACGGCTTCTTGTTGTGTCATGAGCCCGTTAGGCTGTAGTGGCATGGCTTTAGTACTGGTGGCCAGCGCCCTGCTGACGCCGCTGAGTGGCGCGCTGCTAACGTCTATAAGTGGTGCTCTGGCCGCGTCGGTATGTAGCGCTCTTGCAATGTGAGTTGCGCTCTGGTCGTGTCGGCGAGTGGCGCTCTAACAACGTCGGTGTGTAGCGCTCTGGTGACGCCGGTATGTGGCGCTCTTGCAATGTCGGAGAGTAGCGCTCTAGTCGCGCCGATGAGTGGCGCTCTGGTGACGCCGGGGACTAGCTGTTGACGGCGGATGGGGAGCGCTCCTTGTTGGCGCAGTTGATGTCGCTCTGCTGACGGCGGGTGTCGCCCGTACGCGGCTTCACGGTATACTGTGGTTGGCGGTGATCAAAGCCGACGCACCAGAAATCCCTCCCCTCAGTCGTAACCCTCATTCCGGTCTATGGCTCTCTACCTCTGAC